ATTAAGCATATGCTGAAGAGATTTAGAAATTAACTCTTTAATAATTATAACTAAATTAATTGTATGAAATAGAAAGAAATGAAAAAAGAGAATTGGAAAAAAGATTAATGTTTCTAAATAGTTATTTAGAATAAGTATCAAAAGATGCAAATAACATCAATTATGATTATGAGTATAAGTTAAAAGAATAAGAATAAGCTTATAAGGAAAAATAGGAAGAATATAAGAAAAAATTGAAAGTTTAACAATAAGATTATTAGACAAAATTATAAGATTATGAAAAAGATTACAATAATAATATCATGATTTATAATAAGACAACTAGAAAAAATATTAAGAATATAGGAAAACTTTAGAAGATTTAAAATAAGATTACGAGAAAAAATTAAAAGTATAGGAAAAATATTATGAAGATAAATTATAAGATTAAAAAAAAAGATTAAGAGAATAAATTTAAATTATATAGGAAAAGTTTAACAGATTTAAGGTCAGATTACTAGAAACAATTTGAAGATTAAGAATAAGATTCTGTAAAAACATTTACAAATTTAGAATAATATTATATGAAACAATTAGTAGATTCAATTAATGCAAGAAATTAATTAATGGAATGATTACAATAATAGAAAAATGAAAAATATTAAAAAATTTATTAAATATTTGAGCAATCTTTATTATTATATTTCTTAGAATGTGATAAATAAACATCAAAAATTAAAAACTAATTTCAAAAATCAAATTAATTTTTAGTAGAAATACATTAAATCCCCATATCGATGTTTATGATTCTTGGAATATTGTTTAGAAAAAAAATTAGTTTGAAGAAACTAAGAAGACAAGAGAGAACAGAATAATAGAAACTTTAATTTTACAACAACATACAATTATTAGAAAATTATTTAATTTTAAAAGGAAATAAGGAATCAAAAACTTAAAAAAAATCACAATCATAAAAATTGAGGTGAGATTCAATTTAATTTTTATAGTAAAATTAATTTTTTATAATTGACAGACTAAATTCATATGAATGCTGAATAAAAAACTGTTTGAAATTTTATATCTTTTTGGATACATAACTAAAAATATTACATTTAAAGAGTGATTATAAGAATTAGAAAGAAAAGTATACATTTTCAATTTTAGCTATTTAATGTTATAAAATGTGATGACTANTTCTTTAAATAGTACTTTGATTAAGTGAATATTTAAGCGTAACTTTAAAGTTAAATTAGGGCTGAGTTGATAATATTAAAATCAGCTATATCAAAATTTTCAAAATAAATATTTTGTACTTCTGATAATTTAATAATGCTTTAATATAAACTTGAATATAAATTAGAACAATCATAAAATTAATGCAATTAATGTTTTTTCAATTATAATGCATAAAAATTTATAATTTCTAACTGTTACATGTTTTCAAATAAAAATTCAATGAATCCAAAGCCTCTTTTAATTGTACAATTTTTAATTTTAACAATTTACAATTTAATATTTATAATAGAAGAATCAACATAATCAATTTTAGAATTAATTTGGTCATATTAGGAGGTATTTTAAAGTAGAATATTTTAAATATCTATTGAAGATGAAAAAGATTGAAAAGGTAATAAATATATTACTTTTGAGAGATAATTTAAATTCAAATCTTTTATTCTAATTTAATTAATAAAGTAAGTTAAATTTACTTGATTACTCATTTCTTTAGGTATAAAATTATAGATAATATAAACTAATCCTTAAGTTTGACATTAATTAATTTGGATATTATTTATAACAGCATAATTTTCAAATTATATAAAAATGGAATCTATCATTTTCATTTCATTTATTGTTAAATTTTCTATTTTAGCTATTTATGTATTATTTAATGTTATAAAAGGTGATGAGTTTTACATTAAACCTGAAATCAATAGATTTTGAATATTTAAAGTCATTATTTCTGTGATTTTTGAAGTTATCAAAAAAGAACATGTATTTAAATTGGCAAAAATTTTAATTACATCAAATTCTATTGAAATTGGTTGACTTGAAGAAAATTCAAATAGACTTACATTTTAAAAAATGCAATTAGAGATTGAAAATCTTTTAATTTGAACTTATGCATTTGATGTTTGAAATGATAGTTAAAAAATACTTTATGAATTTTAATTCTATAATAATGAATTTTAAAGATTAACTAAATTAAACATTATCAAAGAAATTTATTTACCTTGAAAAATGAATAAAAAAGGTTGTTTCTGGTCTGAAGGTAAAAAATCAATTTTTTCCATCTATAAGGTTATTGGCTTAAATCCTTAAATACTAATAAGTTTTATGTTAGTAGTATATTGTATTTCAAATTAAATATTTTCAAATTTTAAATAAGAAAAATCTAAAAAGTGTAATTCTTAATAAACTTTTATTTTTAAAGGCTTTTCAATTTTAGATGTTATTATTAATTAAACATCACTTTTTATAAGAATATAATTACATTAAATTAAATACAAATTTGGAAAACTTTTAGGAAATGTAACTTATTTAATTAACTGAACAAATTTATTCTTGATTGGATATTAAATAAATTCTCATTTTTCTAATAAATTTCTTATTCATAATTTCATATTTAGAATCAACTTCTAACTTAAATTATTAATTAATTATTACATCAGCAAAACTAGATTATTATGGTTTAGATTATAACAGTGAATCAAATAGTATATTGTTCATTTTAAATTGATTTTATTAATCTAAATTACTAATTAATGATAGAGTTTTATAATATTCTTCATTAGAACAGTATAAATTCATTTCATAATTAAGAACATTTTCACAACCAATTGAATTTTAACAAGGAATAAATTATCCAAAAATTTAATCATAATAAAGATCTTGATTAAAGGAAAACGCTTTTAAGCATTAATAAGAATAAATTGCATTCTTTTCATTTAACATATAATTTGAATTTAATGTTACCAATTCATCTTATGTTCTTTCTCTACAAAATTCACAATAACTAGGACAATCTGAACATTTTTATTAAATTAAACTCAATAAATTATGATAATTATTTTTTCCACAATAAAAACAATAATATTAACCATCTTAATATTAACAATTTGAACAGTTTGAATCACAATATTTTATGCATTTTCCATCATATAATTTAAAGCCATCATTACATGAAGAACATATCAATTTGTAATCTTAAGGATTATTACTTTCATCTTGTGTAAACTAAAAATAAATAATGATTATAATACAAAATATCTTGGATTTGATTATTATTTCAAAACTTAATTTATAACTTTAAGTTTGACTTTCCATTCATCATTAAATTGTATAATAGAATGATAACATGTTTTACAATTTAAAGATAGTGGACAATTATAACATTATCCAGAAAAACGATCTGAATAATATCCTCATTTACATTCAATACAAAAAAGGAGTATATTATGATTGATTAAGGCAAATATTACAATTAGGAATATTTTATGTACACTAATATCCTTAAGTTGCAGGAACATTTTAAAATTTAACCCAAGACAAATCTGTTAATAAGGGTAAATGGCACTATTATATAAATAATCAGAATAATAAGTATAAATACACATTGTATCATAATAATAAGGTTGACAAATTTTTGAATTTGCATCATATCCATAATATTCTTCATATAATCCACAAATAAGAAATTCATCAATAAAATCATTTATAGGTTCAAAATTATAAGCATAATTAAAATAAGCCCAATTATTAGATTTTTAAATAATCATAATTTATTGACAATTTTCAACACCAATAACTAATAGCAATAACTTTTTCTTTTAAACATTTTAGACATCTTAAAAAATATTATTTTGTGTTTTTATTATATTCTTCTTGACAATATTCACAATTAAGTCCACAATTTTGACATATTCCAACTTTTGCCAATGTACGAAGTTAAGTATTATGCTAGCTAATGCAACTTAAATATTCAGAAGGACAAAGTTCACATCTTTTAGTAAGTTTATAAAAGTAATGAGTATCAATACAATTAAGAGATATATCCTTAGATTAACAATCAATATAATATGGATAACAAATTTAACATTAATTTTCTGAGAAAAAGTGATTATTTTTGCATATCATTCTAATCTATTAACCTAGATGATAATCTTTACTATATTCGCATTCTAGTTGACTGTCATTACATAT